GGAAAGGGGGTCAAAATCATTTCAGAACCTTTATACTAAATCATCATATTGTTGTTGGAAGCCAGGCTACATTACCAAACTGTTTATTTGATTTGGTTTGGAAGTCCAACACAGCTTCCCAAGTGGTGTTTGATAAGGTGCAGAATGCTAAATTCTTTAGAGAAGTATAATACTTAGGCTATAACTCAATCAAAAGACAAAAGAAGATGCTGTGAAAGAATAACATCTGCTAAACTTGTGGTTATAGGTAGGAAATTTTAAAAAGTCATGTAAGACAAGAAAGTCAGCCAACTGTAAGTCAGGCCTTACAGAATAGGATGGGCTTTTTGTGGCCACCAGAACCCAGAGTCTAGCCCTCAGGCTGTAGTTTCAAAAAGTGGTTACTCTTTTGCTATTATATTTTTTTAAAATGTTCATTCTAATACATAATATTTTGGCAAGAAATATTTACCGAGGTGTCCTCAACCCTGCCAATAATTTCCACCCCCAATTCATCAAGGATGTTAAAATGTTGGCATTGTGATATGTACATTTCCATACTTTTTCCAAACCTCCACAGTGATACTTGTATACAGCTTTCTATAGTGGTGTTCTATTTGTTGTTGTTATTTGCTAAGTCACATCCAACTCTTTTGCAACCACGTGGACTGTAGCCTGCCAGGATCCTCCATCTGTGGGATTTTCAGGCAAGAATACTAGAGTGAGTTGCCATTTCCTTGTCCATGGGAACTTCCTGACCCAAGGATCAAACCGATGTCTCCTGCTTGGCAGGCAAATTCTTCATCATTAAGCCATCAGGGAAGCCCAGGTATTATATAGAGGTTTTTAAATAATAAAAGGTATACTTATTAAGTAATAAAAGTGGATCATAATATGCACATTTTTGTGCAACTTACTTTTGTTATTCCCAGTGTATCAGATAAACATTCCTCAAGAACCACCATTACAGATCTTTTTAAGGATTGCATAATATGCCACAGTATGTATACATCATAATTTAATCAACAGGTTTTCTATTGAAGACATCTGGATGTGTTTCTGGACTTTTTTCCCAACAACATGAATGCCATAATAAGTATTCTTGTATTCATAGACTTAGATATTCACACCAAAAACAAATAAATAAATAAAAGCTAAGGATTACTAGGACGAGAAAACAAGTTAAAAATCTTCAAAATCTTCTTAGTAATTAGTGTCTGAAGTCTATGACAGCCTTAGTATGATATATTTTGTTTTCCTCTCCTGTTCTAAACACAGAAATCCTAACACACTTGTAGTCTCCTGAGTGACAGGAGCATCTTTTCTTATTTCTAAGAAGGCCCTTCCACCACTCCTGAGTTTATGCTAATGAGGTAGCATAAAGTAGGTCTTAGGGTGGGACCCCCAAGACAGCTTTGAGATGGGGCTGGTCACCAGAAGGACCAAGTAACTAGAGAGTGGGAACTCTTCAGCTCTACTCCTGACCTCGAGTGAGGGGCAGGGTGTGCTGGAGACTTTAAGTTCTATAAAAACTCTTGAACAAGAAGCTTCAGATGGCTTCCAAGTTGGTGAACACAGTGAAGCGCAGGGAGGTTGGTGCACCCCAATTCCACATGGACTTTTGCTCAGCATCTTTGTGGACTTTGCCCTGTGTATCTCTTTATCTGGCTGTTCATATGTCTCCTTTGTAAGGATACAAAAGTTAATGCTTTCTTTGTAGATATAAGTAATGTGTCTTATTGGGTTCTGTGAGCCACCGGAGGAAATTATTGAACTTTAGGAGAGTTTCATGGGAACTCCAAATTCAAAGCCTGTTGGTCAGAAATCTATAACATCTTGGACTTGTGACTGGCATCTGAACTGGGGACAGTCCTGTGAGACTGAGACCTTCACCAGCTCCCAGTATTTAATGTCAAAAATGATTTGAATTGCTGAATATCCAGTTATTGTTTGAAGAATCAGAGATTTGGTTGTTGGTGTTGGGAAACACCACATAGGCCAGTACACCATGCTCATCCTCTTGAACAAGATATCAGAAATCTCATATGTTTTACTAACATTCTCATGTGAACTATGCTGGCCCCAAACTGATTTAGATTGCCTTTTTTTTTTTTAAGGCACCTTTGTCACCTATCACCATTTTTTTCCCTTTTATTTTTAAAAAAATATTATTTGACTGCACCAGGTCTTAGCTGCACATGTGGAATCTGGTTCCCAGACCAGGGATCAAACCTGGGCCCCCTACATTGGGAGCTTGGAGTCTTAGCCACTGGGCAGGGAAGTCCCTGCCCAACACCTTTCATTCAACAATTCTTTTCCCATGTGGCAGGTTTCCTTTAGATTCTTCATTTAGTCTGTTGTTCAATAAATATATGTGCTAGCTCTCCACTAGATAGCTGATGATACAGAGGTGAGCCAGATAAACAAATTCCCTGCTGTAGTTGGGGGAGACAGTCAATAAAACACATAGAGAAAAATAAGTTAACAAATAAAATAGGGGAATGTGCTCTCTAATGTACTGAATAAGGAGTAGAGAGGATTTGTTCTAGGAAAGGAGGCGCAGGCAAAAAGTATGACAAATACGTGGCAGGCATGTGTGTACTTATTTCAAGTGATTCCAGTGTTATTTTATACATATCTATAAGCTAATGCATGCATCTGGTCTCACTTCCACACACCTTTTTTTTTTTTAAACAAACAGCACTATCCTGCACACACTGTTTTACATCTTGCCCAATGCAGCTTGGAGATCATTCCATATGAGAATGTAAAGAGCTTTCCTCATTCTAAAAAAAGAAGCTTTGTAATATGAAAAGCACTATTTAGAGAATTATAATGCCAAAAATACTAATAAGAAGGTCAACGCTAGATTCATAGGAAATCTGAAAAACTGAACGTGAATTTCCAGCTTTAGGAACAGAGAATGAGCTGAATTTCATGCAAGTAATTTTCAACTACTGGTAAGGCCAGAAGAGGTGAGTTTGTTTTGTTTTGTAATACAACTTCTGTCTCTCGCTTATCCTACTGGCCATGTCTGTGCCATCTGATCTTTCAGTACACAAGTAATCACAGTGATCACACAGTATTTCATGACCACCATCAAGTGTCTTTGAGGTACAACATATACAAATGAATGAAGTAATAAGATGTTTATAAGCTTACAAATGTCTTGTTTTAAAAATCTGGAAGTTCTGTTTTTATTTTGATAGAATATTGACTTCAACATTTTATATATTATATCCTACCAACATAGTTGAGAAGCAATTTGAAATATTTTATGAGATAAGACAGATAAAGTGGAGACAGAATAGGATCAAGTATGAAAGCCAGGAAGGATGAGGTGTCTACCTAATTAAGCACTAAAAGGAGTGTAGGAGGGAAGAAAAGACCACAGGATTTGTTCACACACTGATTACAGGGCATCACTCTGAAGGAACACTTCAGTGATTTCAAGCCTTTTAGCATGAAAGAGATCATCACTTTCAGAAATGAAACCACCAGCTGTAGAGACTGTCAGTTTAACTCGAGGTACAAAGACTTTTGGGTTTAGATGGGACCTTCCAGTTACATTTTCAAAATTAGAACTGTTTGTTTTTAAAGGATGAAACACCTTAAGTTGCTTTCTTAAGTTCAAACAGTAATTGTCACTGTATAGACAGGACCCACTTAAAGCTTACGGACTGATAAACTATAAACTCACTACCCCTTAAGGGGGTAGAAGTGCTATGTTTCAGAGACAGATGCCTACGAAGTCCTTAGTTAAGGCTAGATGTGGAGTGAGAGTCCTAAAATTTCAGGAAAAGTGAACAGTAGAGGGACTTCAAGTAGGAAAGGAATTAATATTTTTAGCTACTATGTACACTCTTCACTTTACATCTGGCTATCTTTAATTCTCATCACAACCCTACAAAGTAGTTATTAACCATTTTACAGATGAAGATCTTGGGTTCAGAAAAGCTAAACTTCTCATGCTAAAAGGATCTCAAATTCTTACCCAAATCTACATGTTTGTAGCGGCCAAGTCATGCTCAGCCCAGTTATCTTCATACCACTCCACTTGATCCCATATACTCATTTTATGAAACCTATAGGAGGGAAATCACACATTTGGGGCCAAGCTGGGACCACAAAGCAGGTAGGCTGATCATCCCTCGGCCTCAAAGTTCTTTGCAGGGCGCACACATGCCTTTAAGGGACAACCTACACCACCCTACAAGGGATGGAGAGAGAAAGAAAGAGCAATAGTCTAAAGACAAAAGCAAAGAGAAAAGGAGCCAAAGAGAAGCTGTGCGGATGGGGTGTGGAGGATGACAAGTGAACCGTGCTGTCGCCTCTATTTCTCCAGCTGGTGAAGATGCACCTGCAGTGCGGGAGACCTAGGTTCGATCCCTGGGTTGGGAAGATCACCTGGAGAAGGGAAAGGCTACTCATGCCAGTATTCTAGCCTAGAGAATGCCATGGACCTTATAGTCCATGGGGGTCACAGACAGGCGGACACGACTGAGCGAATTTCACTTCACTAGTCCGTTAACAAACTGACCGATCACACATTTCGGGAAGTTTAGCCTTGGCCAGCTTCATTCCTTAACTCCTTTCAGGAACTTAGTATTAATCCTTAGCATAAGTCCAGAAAAGACAAAGGCAGTCGAGCAAAGTGTGCTCTTCAGGCAGAAGTGGAAACTGGCGCTGCGAACCAAAACTTGAACCACCCCGCGGGCACTGATTTGAAGACTCTGAAAGACAAGTTTGGCTGCGAGACGCGCCTGCCTCCAAGGGGTGGGGCCGCAGCACCCAGGGCGGGGTTTCCTCCAGGCCCACGCCGCCTCCGCCGGCCACGTGACCCGCGGTGTTGTGGTCCGGCCCGCGTGGGTGGCGGGAGCGGCGGGAGGGCGGGGGCGAGGAGGGGCGCGTCACGTGACGGGGTTTAAATCTCCCGCAGCCCGAGCGGCGGGGGCGCCAGTGCCGCGAGTCGAGCGGGAGCAGAAGAGGCGAGGGAGGAGGGCCAGAGAGGCGGTTGAAAGATGGCGGACGAGGCGGCGCTCGCCCTTCAGCCCGGCGGCTCCCCCTCGGCAGTGGCGGCTGAGAGGGAGGCCCCGTCGCCGCCTGCTGGGGAGCCGCTCCGCAAGAGGCCGCGAAGAGACGGCTCCGGCGTCGGGCGGGGCCCGGGCGAGCCCGCTGGGACGGCCCCCGAGCGGGAACTGCCGGCGGCGGCCGGTAGGTGGCGGCGGCGGCGGCGGCCGGAGAAGGAGACAATGGGCCGGGCTTACAGGGCCTATCCCGGGAGGCGCCACCGGCCGACGACTTCTACGACGACGACGACGACGAGGGCGAGGAGGAGGAAGAGGCGGCGGCGGCTATTGGGTACCGAGGTGCGCCGGGCGCGGGCGGCCGGGACTGCGCATCCCCCCTCCTCCTCCCGGGGCCCCTCCTGGCGTCGGGTGGTGGAGTCTCGGGCGGCTTGGGGGTTTCGGGCCTGACTCTGCGGCGTCCCCCTGCCGACCTGGGCCTTCTTCAGCCGCGCGCCTGCGGGGCTGAGGGCCGGGCTGCCGGAGCGGCCCGCGGACTCGCTCCCTTCCCTGCTCTCTACCTCCCCCCTTCCTCCCCGCGGCCCGCCCCAGCGGCCTCGCGTTTTGCGCAGCCGCGGGGCGGGCTACCCTCGCAGTCGGTTTTAAAATAAGTTTCTCTCCCCTCCTACCCCTTTAGCGTATTGCTTTTGTTAAATGTCCTTCGCTTCTCCGCCCCTCCCCGTCCCGCACACTTCAACCTGCAACTTTTTGACTGTACCTTGCGCCAGCCTTTTGCGGTTGCCGTGGCAAACTGACACCTGCGAAATTTCTTGGGGTTTTTTGCAGGGACTTTATTTTTAAACTTGTTTTAAAGAATTGTTTATAAAGACATTACCCTTCTGTGGTGCAATTAATAGTGGGCGTAGGAGAGTAATAGTGTTTTAGACTACTTTGCCGTGAATAGTGTTTTTCCTCTAACCGTGTTCTTACAGTGGTTTTTACATGAACTGTCTTCGTGTGTGTATATGTCACCCTGAAACACGAATTGACATTTTTCTGACATGCTAAAGTAGGTGTGATAGTTGTGTGTCTTGTCATTCTTCAGTGTTTTCAGTTTTTATCTAGACAGATGTGCCTCTCTATTATTTGTACCAATAAATCCAATCAGTGGACCCTTTGACCATATGTAAAGATAACATGTGCCTTAGGGACTGGATTAGAAAAACGACACTGTTTTCAAGAAACATAGTTTAATAAGGGAAACAAATAATGCAAAGGTACCTTTGTAGATTTAACGTTATATAAGAGAAGTGCAAGTTGCCATAGCTTTGTTTGCATGACTCTTTGGGTAAATTTTAATTTGGTAAGTTTTATGAACCATTATTTGTGATCGATAAATTCAGGTAAGGTTGCTACTTTTTGTGTTTTGATTAAGAATTAATTTATTTCTAGATTTTGATGAAACTTAAGCTTCTGAGCAGAATCCCCAGAGGATATACTGTTCCTGTGAACGGTGTGAGTTGATCCAGTAGACATTTTTTAGCGGGGCAGTATGAGTGAATGTTAAGTGCTTTATTCACTGGAAATTGCTGCATAACAATAATTATAGAGCTTCATAATTTTAGATGCAGATTGTTTCCGCAACCTTGAGTTACCTTTGGTTTCTTTTGCAGATAACCTTCTGTTTGGTGATGAAATCATCACCAACGGTTTTCATTCGTGTGAAAGTGACGAAGATGATAGAGCCTCGCATGCGAGTTCTAGTGACTGGACTCCAAGACCTCGGATAGGTATGGTTTCACAGTTTAAGAACTGTCTTTTCTTTGGTATTTTCTTTTTATGTCGACGAAAAATATATTTCTTTCTTCCCTTATTGTCTTGTGATGAGGTTCTTAGGTGTTTACTGAGATTTAATGTCAGCTTGGTTTTAGGGAAAGTCTAGTACTTTGTTCTCTACTGTTTTTATTAAACAGCATGGGCCCATGGAAGCTGGCCTGTGTTATTTCTCAAAAACCAGGTCCTTTCCACTTGTACCCTCCATGTGGAATGGTCATCCTCCAAAGTATCTTGCTTGCTTCTTCATATCCTTCTATAATTTTTCTTCTTAACTCTTACCACTTGACAATTTCTGTATGTAACTTTTATTGCTGTATTAGAATATAAAGTCCCTGGGGGCCAGCGATTTCTGACTGGTTTGTATACTATTTAGTCAGTGCCTGGAAAAGTTTGCCCTCAGTAAATATTAAGTATTTTGATGAAATGGAAAAGTATTTTGAAGTAGAGAACACTATGAGGTTTTTATATCAAAGTAGTGACATGACTGTCTCAAAATATTCTTTTCCTTGACATGCTCTTTTTCCAGAAATGCCTTGACTATTTAAAGATAGTGGTGATTAGTTTCTCTTCAGTGTTTATATTGACTGTATTTTTGGTTTTCTTAAGCTAGGAACTGATTAAGAATTTAGGGCAAAGAATTATTAAAGCTCAGAACATTAGCATTGTACATATCATTGCAGAGACTGGTTAAGATGAAATTGTTACTGGGAAAATTTTAAAGACAGTAGTTAAGTATAGATTTCATTTTTTCTGTGTTTTTAATGATAAATAGGGTGGGCTTTCATGATGGGTAAGATCTTTATTGATTTGCAGAGCTCTTTTGTACGTCTGTTGTATTTAAGTTATACTTGTTTAGGTTTTAACCAGAGAAATCTAGTTCTAGTAGTAAATTCACTTGACTCTTGCACGTGTTGTTGTTTAGTCAGTAAGTTGCATCTGATTCCACCTCATGAACTGTAGCTGGCCAGGTTCCTCTGTCCCTGGGATTATCCAGGCAATAATGCTGGATTGGGTTGCCATTTCATTTTCCAGGGGATCTTCTCTACCCAGGGATGGAACTAGGGCCTCCTGCATTGAAGGTCGATGGATTCTTTACCACTGAGCCACCGGAGAATCCCTTTAAAATATATACCTGGCATTTTATAGCTCGGGGGACAGGATATATAGCATTGGCTCTGAGTCTCAGCTCCTCATTTCATTGGGATATATAACATTAGCTTTGAAGGTGTTCTGAATGAAACACCTTTGCAGTGCTTTTTTTTTTTTACTTTACAAAACAGCCGTAAGGATTGCTAATTAACTACTTCAGAAAATAAATGAGATTTTGAATGACTTGGAGTGGATTGATCTAGTTCTTTTCCCTTTTAATATAGGTCCATATACTTTTGTTCAGCAACATCTCATGATTGGCACAGATCCTCGGACAATTCTTAAAGATTTACTACCAGAAACAATTCCTCCACCTGAATTGGATGATATGACACTGTGGCAGATTGTTATTAATATCCTTTCAGAACCACCAAAAAGGAAAAAAAGGAAAGATATTAATACAATTGAAGATGCTGTGAAATTACTGCAAGAGTGCAAAAAAATTATAGTTCTAACTGGAGCTGGGGTATGTAAGATGGATGAGAATACTAGTAAAAGCAGGAAGGTGTGTATTTTCTCTTCAGCCTTGTCCTAGCCAGAAACACATTTCTGGTATAGAATTTATCCTTATATGATAATGGGCATTTGTGTTTGGAAACTGCTAAAAAGTGAGTGCAGCAGCAGTTACTAAATTGGTTCAGGATTTTTTAAACTTCTTAGTAACCTTAAAAAAGATGCCCTTCTGTTTATTGACACAGTAGGTAAGTGGGATTAAGGTAAGATTTTTACGTGCTTTATTATACCCAACTCCTAAAGAAGATGCAGGGAATTCTGCGTGTGTTACAGTGTCAGGGCCTAATGATAAAAATTGGTTATTTGCTCAGCCTTCATGGAGAAACTAGGAACCTAATGTATATGTATTGGTAAGTGGAGAACTTAGTGTAGGAAAGGTAACAGATTCCTACCTCTCCTCCATCTTTTTTTTCCCCCAGTTACATAGAAGTTTTTTTTAACGTGAGATAGGGCACCATAAACAGAAGTGGAATACAGACAGCAGATTTTTATAAAAAGCACCATGTTTGACTTACAAAGGATTATTTCTCTAATGTACAGCTAGCTTCAATTGATTGAAAATAACGATAATACAATGGAAAAAAGGCAAAGACCATAGACAAACAAGATGGTTTGCAAATGATTATAAAAGAGGCTCAATATCAGTACTCAGTGAATGCAAATTAAGTATTAGTGAGTTTTCACTTTTTTACCCATCAGCTTACTAAATTTTAAATGTTGATAATACTGTTACAGTGTGGAGCATTGTAAGCATTCTTATATATCGTCTCTCATCCATTTTAAATTAAGATGATGTGATTGTGGTGGCTTGACATTTTCCATTTGCCCCACTTTCCGTCTCAATTAACTAGTTACTTAGGCTATTTCATATTGTGTGTTGAATACAGAATATGTTACATGGAACTGACAGAACAGTTTTTGGAGTAAAGTTGAGTCCTACTTTCTGACCTGTTGAGTTCAGGGAGAGTGTTATTTAACATTAGATGATCGTGACAAATAGGTATGTTTTGCTTCCCCAATGTGACTTAGGCGTTTGTTTTTGCCCTGAGACCAAAATGGAGTAAACACAGGCAAAATTGTGAAATAGGTAACTTCTGAAATCCAAATTTGAAATTGTCAATGTTTATTTGTAGAAAAAGCACAGAATCTAAATTTGTTCTTCAAAATTTTAAATTGCAGTATTGTACAGCATAGTTTTTTAAGGGAAATTAAGAAATTTAGTGTTTTTGAAGTAATAGAACCCTGATTTAGATGAGGGATTTTTGTTTTTGGAAATACTTGACTGATTGAAACTCTTTCCCACTTTCTAGTTAAAATAATTTGAAATGGTTTACTTCCTTCCCAATCAAGTTGGAATTGCTTTAATTTGTTGGTTAAATACTTATAAAGGTTTAAAGTTAGCCTTACCCCCTTATGAATTACCCACTTATGAATTCCTTACCCCCTTATGAAGGGAATATTGGTGGACTTAATTACACTGGTTTTCTGAGTATTTTATTTCTATTAGAAATTAAACTAAGGCAGTATCTGTATTCCCCAAAAGTTTCAAACTAAAAATATTTTCAGCTCTTCCCTAATTGTTTGATAAGAGGACTAGTAATTATTAAGGTAGCAGTAGAAGATTTAATTGTGCAAATTATGCCATGCGTATTTCAGGTTTCTGTTTCTTGTGGAATACCTGACTTCAGGTCAAGAGATGGTATTTATGCTCGCCTTGCAATAGACTTTCCAGACCTTCCAGATCCTCAAGCAATGTTTGATATTGAATATTTCAGAAAAGATCCAAGACCATTCTTCAAGTTTGCAAAGGTACTACGAACTTTTCTAGCTGTTTCTTTGTCCTCCTGTCATGAAAAATTATTTTGAATGGCTGTCTAGTAAATTGAATGCTAGTACTGTGGTGGAGTGAAATCACTGATATCAAAATCATTTTATTCAGAAATCCCTTCTTCCCCATAGGGACTGTCATTTGCCTTTCTTCATTTTATGATTGTGCTTATTTTCAAAGAAGAGGCTATTTCATATTTCTCCGGTTTGCACTTCACTTTACATTGTCCTTTACATTGTCCAGGCTTTTTTTAGAGGTTAGTAGATCATATAAATGGAGAAGGCAATGGCAGCCCACTCCAGTACTCTTGCCTGGAGAATCCCATGGACGGAGGAGCCAGGTGGGCTGCAGTCCCTGGGGTTGCTAAGAGTCGGACACGACTGAGCAACTTCACTTTCACTTTCATGCATTGGAGAAGGAAATGGCAACCCACTCCAGTGTTGTTGCCTGGAGAATCCCAGGGATTGGGGAGCCTGATGGGCTGCCATCTATGGGGTCGCACAGAGTCGGACACGACTGAAGCTACTTAGCAGCAGCAGCAGATCATATAAAAGTAATACCACTGTTTTGATATTGATTTTTTTTTTTAATATTTATTTGGCTCTGCAGGGTCTTAGTTGTGGCATGAAGGATCTTCCTTCGATCTTTAGTTGCAGCACACAAACTCTTAGTTGTGGCATGTGGGATCTAGTTCCCTGATCAGGGATCGAACACCAGCCCTCTTCATTGGGAACGCAGAGTCTTAGCCACTGAACCACCAGGGAGATTCCCTGTTTTGATATTGAGTATTTTTTATGGATCACAAAGAGTATAACATCTGCTCAGTATGTTTTATAGTGTGAGGAGATATGCCTGTGATCGGGGTAGAGAAGGCTCTTAGATTGCATTTTAGTCAGGGTTGATTCTGCGCTAGAGTAGGTAGAGCTGCTCTGTCCAGTTCAGAAGCCATTTGCCATGTGGGGCTATTGAGTACCTAAGTGTTCTGTACTGAGATGTTATGTTAGCAAGTGTGGGAGGCATACCAGCTTTTGGAAACCTAGTATGAAAAACATACAAAATATTTTATTATATATAATGATTATATGTGTAAATAGCAATACTTTGGTATTGGGTTATAAATTGTGAAAATTTCACATTGTTAATGTGGTTACTAGAAAATCTGAATCGTGTATATGATTCAGATGTTTTTATTTGGCAGCTCTGGAGTTTAAAGTTTGACATCACAGTCATCCCTTGGTATCTGAGGTGGGGATTGGTTTAAGATTCCCTCAGATACCAAAATCTGAGGATGCTTAAGTCCTTTATATACAGTGGTATTTGCACACAGTCTATGCACATCCTCACTGTATGCTTTATTTAAGCGTTTCACCTCTCAGTTTTGGGGAGGCTGGGGCTACGCTGGGTCTTCATTGCTGCTCAAGGGCTTTCTATAGTTGTGCCGAGCAGGGACTACTCCGTGATGCACAGGCTTCTCATTGCTGCTCCTGTTGCAGAGCACAGGCTCTAGGGTGTTTTAGCTTCAGTAGTTGCACCTCATGGGTTTAGTTGCCCCAGCAGCATGTGGGATCTTCCTGGACCAGGGATCTAGTCTATGTCCCCTGTATTGGCCAGTGGACTCTTAGCCACTGGACCCCACCAGGGAAGCCCTTATCTCTGTATCCTTAACTTTCACAGATACTGTGAGCTTTTTTGTTTTTACAAATTTGAGGCATAATGGTAACCCTACATCAAGCAGATCTGTAGGTGTCATTTTTCCAATTGCACTTGCTTACATATGTCTCTGTGTCCCCCACTGGTAATTCACAGTATTTGACTTTTTCATTATTTGTTACAGTGGCCTGGGATCAGTGATCTTTGTTATTACCAAGGATGTAGTGATGGTTAGCATTCTTTTTAGCAATAAAATGTTTTTATTTAAGGAATGTACATTTTTTTGAGATATAATGCTATTGCACACTTAATGAATTACAGTATAGTATAAACATAACTTTCTATGAATGGGGAAACCAAAAAAATTCATTTAACTGACTTGATTGGGTTACTTGCTTTTTTGCTGTGGTCTGGAACCAAACTCATGGTGTCTCTGAGTTATGCTTGCATGATGTTAATAGTTGCGGTGCAGTAAATTCAAAATTTGGTAAATTGTTATTGCTAAACTTCAGTATACTTGAAAGGGTCTTTTGTATTACTGATTATTCTTTAATGGGCATAGAAATGAAATGGAATTGAATCTTAATTAAAGGATGACCTCAACTACTTTCAAATCATGTGGTGTGTTTATATAACTATAGGAAAACCTCTGCCAATTTAGAATACATGTGTTAGCTTAAATTGATGGACTATCTTAAATAATTTTGTTTTGTGCAAGTGTGCTTATAAACAGGAATTAGAATAAGATGGGGATATTACATTGGAATTTCTTAGAAAACTATTTACTTGCTAAAACTGAAAACTGAATTTGAAAACTTTCTGCAGGCTACTAAGGGAAATTTGAATCTTGCCAATAATCAACTTGAAACTTAGAAAACTTTTGAACTTCATATATCAGCAGTGATGATGGTCTGTCCTTTAGAATAGACTTCTGGTTCACAGTGAACTGAGCAAATAATGTAAAGTTAGTTTCTATTCGTTTTTCTTTGTTACAAGAATGTGACTTTGTGAAGATTTACTGTTTTTTATCTACTGGTGCTAGGGGTACTGCTGCAAGACTTTTTTTCTGACCTCACTCTGTGACCTTTGGGATCTTAGTTCGCTGACCAGGGGTGGAACTCATGCCTCCTGCAGTCTGCTGGGGGAGCGCAGAGTCCTAACCACCAGTTCCCCAAGGGGACTGCACAGGAATGAACTCTTTAAGAAAGCCATCAAGTAACTAGAAATTACTCTGATCTGGTATCTGAGTATAAGAGCTTGATTTACTGGTGCATGTATTTAATGCTTACAAGATTTTTGCTGTAAATTCTGTGTTCTGAGAGGAAACAAAAAACATGCCCAGACTAACTTCCCAGGTTTTTCAAAACCCTGTCACTTAAGTGTATATTAAATTGCCTAGTGAAGGTAGTAATCTCACACTTGGGGAAAATATGGTAACTGAGAATACAAATAGCAAGGTGAGAAAGAATGTAACCTTTGTTTAATGTACATAATGAATATTCAGTTTTAGCTTAAACTGGTTTTAGTAGGATATTCTTGTTCATTTATTTTTGGTGCTTTGACAGGGACTTGAACCTCAGATTAAAAATCTGATGCTCTACCAGCTGAGGTCTCCAGGCAATTTAAACTGGCTTTGATGTATAAGAATATACAGAAGCAATTAAGTATTACTCTTACAAAGACAGGTTATAAAAATGCACATGATAGAAATCTAGACAGGGCAAAAGAGAAAATAAGATCTGAATTGGGGCAAAAATGCTGCTGTGCCGTGCTCCGTCGCTGAGTCTTATCCAACTCTCTGTGACCCCGTGGACTGTAGCCCACCAGGCTCCTCTGTGTATGAGATTTCTCAGGCAAGAATACTGGAGTGGGTTGCCATTTCCTACTACAGGGGATCCTCCCCATCCAGGAATCAAACCTGTGTCTCCTGCATTGGCAGATTCTGCCACTGAGCCACCTGGGAAGCCCAGAGTAAAAATGGCAGTGTTAATTTGTGACAGTGTACAGATTTTATGGTGCCTGGGAGAAGAAAAAGTTGGGAGAGGCAGCATGTGTCACTTCTCTGTGAAAGCTGGAGCTAAACAAATGAATTAATCTTTATAACTTCTACTTACATAAGATTGTTGTTCAGTTCTCACATTAAAAACTACCAAAAGGAAAGCATCTAGTTGCTGAAGTACCGCTTAAAATGAATGGTAATAGGTAAGAGAGATTGAGTTAGAGTCTAAAAATGAATAAATAGGAAAAAGCTGAAGGACAAATAAGAAAGGACAAAGAATGAAGGACAGTGTTCAGAAATTAAGAATGGGGAGGATATGTAAATCTTGTAATATTTTACTAGATTCCAAAAAGAATACATGAGTAAAATACTCAGAATCTAAAATTTTCTACCAGTTTCTCTACTATGCAGAAAGTTTAAAAAGATGGTTACTTTCTAGTTGTGAGAGAAAATGAATTTAAGTTGATGTGTAGTTGATTTAAAATGGGTTTCAGGTGTATAGCACAGTGATCCAGTTGTATAACCTTTTTTTTTCCAGATTATTTACATTATAGGTTGTTATAAAATATTGAGTATAGTTCCCTGTGCTATACAGTAGGTCTTCATAGGCTCCCTATTTTTATTTATTTATTTGTGGCTATCCTGGGTTTTGTTGCAGCAGGCAGGGGCTGCTCTTCCATTGTGGCACAAGGGCTGCTCGTGGCTCCCCCTGTCGCAGAGCAGAGTGCTGTAGCGCGTGCAGGCTCGGGAGCGCTGGTTCAGTAGCTGCGGTGCACGGGCTTAGTTGTTCCACAGCATGTGGGCATCCTGGGTTTTGTTGCAGCAGGCAGGGGCTGCTCTTCCATTGTGGCACAAGGGCTGCTCGTGGCTCCCCCTGTCGCAGAGCAGAGCGCTGTAGCGCGTGCAGGCTCGGGAGCGCTGGTTCAGTAGCTGCGGTGCACGGGCTTAGTTGTTCCACAGCATGTGGGCTCTTCCCAGACCAGGAATCAAACCCATGTCCTCTGCATTGGCAGGCAGATTGTGAACAGTGGACTGCCAGGGAAGCCCCGGTTATCTATTTTATATACAGGAGTGAGCATATGTTAACCCCAGACTCCTCGTTTATAACCCCGTCTCCCCTTTGGTAACCACAAGTTTGTTTTCTGTGTCTTTGGGTCTATTTCTGTTTAGTAAGTAAGTTAATTTGTTATTTTTATTTTTTAAAAGAAGTGATGTTTGATATTTGTCTCTCTGTCTGGCTTCACTTTAGTATGATAATCTCTGGGTCCATCCATTTTGGTGCAAATGACATTATTTCATTCTTTTTTATGGCTAAATAATATTCCACTGTAT